AGTATAGTTATATAGTACGTTGTATAGTATAGTTGTATAGTATAGTTGTATAGTATAGTTATATAGTACGTTTTCACGTACATTAATGGCGAATCTGAATTATATATAATACGCGCTCTTAACACGTTCATCGCCATGGTGGGTCAAAATGACTGGCATCTCATCTACCTATTGGTCCATGGGGGGTTAACTTTCCGATGCTCGTTCACGCCGCAGGTGGCAAACGCTACGTATTTAGCCATATAACATGACCGGCGTAGACCTGATGAACTGCTGTTGCCACTTGGTTTTTAGAATTTTTGATGGCAACGTACTTTTCTAGACTAAGAGGAAAAAGCATATATGTTTTGAATTAAAAAAAAAACTACTTTATTTTCAAATTGGATTTAAAAGTTACAAACTAAGCAAAAAAATGGTTAATGTGAAATGTCATCTCAAATGAAAGACGTACTTACGTCAGTTAAACATCGATCCAACATTACGTGTACATACTCTGCCCGGCATTGCGATCGGTTTAAAATGCCCGGCACTAAATATAATCTCAAACTAGAGACAAATAATGAAATATCGCGAAAAAAATTGTATACGTATACCAATGAGACAACAAACAGTCATATTTTGAACATTTTTGAAAATTCTATTAGGCGACGAACGTGTTTAGGATGCTGGTGAGTATTATAGGCATATGGGACTTGTCAACTTATATCTCAGTGTGACGGTCGCAGTGGCAGTGCCCCTCAGATCTTTGCGATTTAAAGCTGCAACTGTTATGGACAGGCATGTCGCTTACCACCAGGCAGACGACTTGTTCGTCCCGTCACTTGATATCATAAAAAAAACAACAAAGTTCAATTATACAATAACAATTTTGATGGTCTTAGTAAATATTGTTTTCGTGAAAGTGAATAAGGTTTCTATCTCATCTCATCTTATCTTTCGCCGTGTTATTTAAGACATTCCAATTTGGTTACGGGATGAATTGTAAATACAAAAATGTAGCGATACCTGTTGGGGGAAGCAATTTAAGCGCAACAAACACACTTTAATCTCTAGTATCACTTAACTGCGCGTTATATTTAACAATTTGGTTTAGCCCAGCTTAACATTCAATACGGTTCAAATAACTGGACTTTTGTATTAATCCGTATAGAGATGATAGATCCCCATGGCGCGGCTGTGTTCGGTTATTCAGCTCTAGGCATCGAGTAACTAGGAATAGAGACGAAATGTCATTTGTTTGCATTACAGTGCGCTCCGATTGGCCAGCCTGAATTCGAAACAAATTGACGGGTGTCGTCAATTGTTTCACTTCGAATCGACCAGTTTAACTTGACCTTTGCTGTAATGGACGAAAATTGAAAAATATTTAGTTACCAATGAAATGTGATTCCGTTTGTTTTGTAATTAGACGTTTTGCTGTTTTTCCCACATCACCGAATGGGACAGCCCCCAATTGTTAGAGATATTATCTTTATTACAATAAATACAGAATATATTTGGAATATACGGAAACGTACACACAGGTCAGTTGTTGGCGCTGTATCAAGGTAAACAACTCTTTTATGGGGAACTGTATACGTTTTTACAATAAGATTCCGGAGCACATATTAAGTTTATCATTTCCTAAGTTTAAAAACTACATTAAAAATATTTTGATCGAAAAATCATTATACAAAATTGAAGACTACGTGTTAGATAAAGATGTATGGAAAGACGACATGGCTCCAGAATCCACACAAATTAGATTCAAAGTGTATTCCATAGCATTTAAGTTTATTTGAAAAGAGCAATCCCTAGAGTTTCTTGCTCGTTCTTCTCAGGGAGTTCAGCGTAGTGAACGAGCAGTAGCTTAAATGTGACGTTTTCAAGTGTAAATTTATTTTACCTATGGAATAAATAATCTTTGACTTTGACTTTGACTTTGTACTATTTCAGTTTTCTAATATGTGATTTCAGCGCAAACGAGAGTTGATATTTAAAAGT